TGGGTCGGTTGTGTCACAGCGTTCAAGCTTGCTGGACACTCTGAACTGTCAGTGATGACGTTCATGGAAGCCATTGTGAACAAGGTCTTTGGAAAGAAAAGCAGAAGAAAGTTAATATTCATTTTATTCCAACAAAGTTAAATTCAAAATAGTGAAATATCTATTCCAAAACACGCAATGTCAAACATTCAAAATGCATGATCTCCACAACATCAGTCATACCTGTACACATTGAGTACATATAAAGCCTTGAACCTTGACTTGCAGCACTAGTGATGTTCCACGGACGTATACTCACGTAACAGTGAGCGTCTGAGTAATTTGTGTTTTATACCATTTAAACATTATTTCAGCCATATGCCCATGTATCAATTTAGTGTTGGATGGTTGCGTAAAATGATGCATTTCGTTAATAGACTAGGTGAAAACCATGGGCGCGGATATGCCTTGACACAGAGATCTGAGATCCAAACATATACATGAGGATCCTTGCAGGGGTAAGGGACGCTACTCTGAACATATAACTCGGACGTCTCGGCCACCCCAGCCAGTGTTCGCATGTTCCAATAAACCATCTACTGGTCCAATAAACATTAAACTCTGTGTGTTGATATTTTGTTTAAGCACACATATTTAGATTCCAATTGATTAAAAGCCAAACAACAGCGTCAGTAGGGTAAATTATCTGATATATTTCTTTCCCAAATTTCCCATGAGCTAAAATGTCATAAGCGATCTTTTAAAAACGACTCAACTGGAAATGAAGAATAATCAGAATTTCTAAAAACACATTTCATTAAAGCATGCAAATGCTTGTTTGCTACTCATAAAAACAAAACACAACTCCACAGGAAGTAAAATATATTGTCTGCACTATCATTAGGCGTGCATATGATCAGTGACATCTCTGTACTAATAAATAACAGCTACAAAGAACACGCATGTCGACCATGCATCAGAATACATTATTTAAATATCCACATAGGGGCGTCGTCCATAGGAACGACCTCCTCCATGTTGAAGTAGTCGTTGACACCACTTATGTCTCAAAACCATTCTGACAATTCTTTGAATAATCAATATGATTTCTCAAATCTTCCTGAGTAGCTCCAAATATTATAAGTAGCAATATGTCGTAAATTGATGCTGGCAATAACGGATAACAGAACATCGGTTTTCTACTTCTAGGAAACGTAGCTGTCGGTGTTTGTCTAGGCGAAACTATCTGAGGAAGATAATTTATTATTAATGATTATTAATGAATTTCTACTCGCACTGTCATCACTGGTACTGATGTCGACTCTCTTAGCAGGCTGTCCATTTGCTGATTGGAACTCTCTTATAGGTTGTAAGCTTCTGGGCAGTACAAAGGAGGTGGGATTGGGGATTTGAGTGAGCTTTACCATTTGGTATTCTGGGTAGGGGGTTGGGTCGACTGGGTGGGGGTGGGGTTGGGTGAAGTCGGTTGGGGGAACTATCAGCTTTAATATTTTTGTTTCAGTTTCAACCTTGCAACTGGGTATTGTTTGGCAGCACATCTATTCTATTTTCACAAGTATGATCATAATACTTTCCTCAAGCATTTTCTAGAACAATAACCAATGCTCAGTTCCATAGTCACTTTGGTAGTGGTAGTTCATCTCAAAGAAACTCTTATAGTGAGGAACATACTTATTAACTACCACTGGTAGTTTTGCTAGTAATTTGATGACCTAACACATCAGACAGTGATGACAGAATTATAATCACTGCACTGACCGGTCATATGTCCATTGTAGTTTTGCTAGTAATTTGATGACCTAACACATCAGACAGTGATGACAGAATTATAATCTCTGCACGGACAGGTTATATGTCTATGATAGTTTTACTAGTAATTTGATGACCTAACACATCAGACAGTGATGACAGAATTATAATCACTGCAGGGACAGGTCATATGTCAACACTTTCATGTCAACACGTCAGGTCAACATATACGTCGACACCATGTCTTTTGTTAACAACCCGTGAAGGTCCGGGTTAGAATTGATCTTCTGTAACCCATGCTTGTAAGAGGCGACTAACGGGATCGGACGGTCAGCCTCGCTGACTTGGTTGACACATGTCATCTGTTCCCAATTGCACTGATCGATGCTCATGCTGTTGATCACTGGATTGTCTGTTCCAGACTTGAATATTTACAGACCGCCGCCATATAGCTGGAATATTGCTGAGTGCGGCGTAAAACTAAACTCACTCACTCTTTTATTAACACTGTGTCATATGTCAATACTAGGCTAGATATCAACACTGTCACGTCAACACTATTGTTCTAAATTACACATATTTAATGTACCTATGAAGGAGAGTCATACTGCCCTAATGGGCGCAAACATGTGATAGATTAAATGGTACAATATGGTAAAATATCAAAACGTAACTGACATAAATAATACATCGCATAACCACAAAGAAACATACAGCCTTCAACAATGTGCTGTGTACCTGCATAGAATCAAATATTGATTTCTTAAATCTTCAATTTTGATATGAGCAAGTGTATTAACACCACAAGATTACTGTCGTTATGCCAATCTTTAAATTACACGCAGTATCCGTGGCAGTGTTGCATCTCGCCTTGTTGGAGACAGAGAGTAAGGGCAGATAACTCGCACTGAAAGATACCTGAATTTCGGGCCTACAACAATGGCATATAATCACAAATCAGCCTACCGTCGGTGATCACTGACGGCAAGATCTGGCATGTGACAGTATAAAAACACACACGTGGAATGCATCTTTGATAATCGACATAAATTGAATGAAACAAATAAAATAACAATAGTCAACATCGGAATATACATATTATCAAGACACGATATTGATCCCTTGAGGTAATGTTCCTTATTGATACATTTTTTCCGGAATATACTGATACAGATTGAATGTGTAAAAAGTGTTTCCATCCTAAGAAGGAACGGGAGGCCATATCATCTGAATCGATCCTCCAGGTGAAAATATGATATATTGTTTTCTTCTTACCACAAAAGATCATTTTTTTTCTTCGAATTTAGCAAATGAAACTGCCAAATAAATTACAATAAATAAAGCCTGTTGAACATATATCTTACGAACTTTCAAAACAAAGCAAATTTTGCCAAATTAAAATTGATTTAAAATTGGAATTATTTGTATACTTTTCAACTTAACGTCCTGATTTTCCTAAAGAAAATCAGTAAACCCATGAAAACGTCTGGCTTAAGTATTCTTTCCTTCATGCAGGAAAGGGCATCGAGGCGTTGAGTGTCATATTTCCGGATAAGACATATCTATTTAATGACTTACGGTTTCACTTTCAGGACATAGAACATTCATCACCAACAAAAACATCGATCTTATCCAGCATGTAAAGGGTATACATAGAATATCTACATAAATCTCACGTTCCCAAAACACACATTGGAGGAAACACCATCCTGTTCATTGGATTAAGTGAATTTTGATTTACATGTTATACTCACAAAACTACCTCCGTCGGTATAATTATAAAATAATGCGATAATTGCGGTAACTAATTTAGTAGTTGCAACAATGTCGTATCTCATTGAATAACTAAATCTTTAAGTTTTATAAATGCAACATGTTTAAATCTTCGGGGAATCTATAGTGCATCAGTGTATCTCGATTCTGGGAAAGAAAACTGACAGTAAAATATAACTCCGAGCTGAACAATATCTATTCCATATCAATATTTCACATGAAATTCTTGATATGATTAAAAGAATTTGTTGGGCAAATTTGATGTGTCAAGTCCAATTTTAAACACATTTGAAACCAAAAAAGTCGAAAGGATTGAATTCACAAGTAGTCATTGTCAAAAATGAGTAACGACAGCCACTGTTCCACCGTCAGGGCATCTGCTAATTAAAGTCAGATTATGATGATGTAAGAAATAGAAATCCATGATATTATATTGCCTCTCTCTTTTGTAAACTCTCTTTGGGATTTGAAATTGGTACAAACAAAACGAGATGGACTCACGTTTGCCAACTCATCGCTCAAGCGCCATTATCTCCAGTGCTTTCAGCTTAATGGTAGGTGTTTGACGAATGTGAAACGCTTCTCATCATGACATGGGTTCACTCAACTCTGAAGGTTCGCTGTCATCGCTGTTTGATATGATAACAGATCGTAAACAGAACAGTCATTTGGTTAAGATGTTGCGTTATTAGAACCAAAAGAAACACAGTTTATTCCATTTCCTTAGCGGGGTTACAGATAACAGAACTCTAAACAGACAATGTGAAAATAACTAACTGTTTAAAGTGTGGCGAGGACGCCCACCATCCTTCCGACAAGGATGTTAAAATCCATCAAATTAAACTCTTCCTTCAGAACCGAACTTTAAGTATACGCCCTGCCATGAATCCGTTCCCTGATATATCTGTCGCTGCATCCTTGAACGACTATTTTCATCTAACATGGCACTTGGAGGGAAAAGCAGGAGGGTTTCCATTTCTCACCAAATTCCCTGCATTGACGTGAAAATTAGTTATCTCCTGACTCCATCATCAGCTGATGGGGCGTAATAACTTGGGGCTATCAAACGACTAAATTGAACAGCCTAGGTTAACAATGAAGCTTACTGGAATCAATTGCTATTGTTTCCCGCGACCTACTGCTGTATTTGACGTGACTATCGTTGAAGCGATGCTTTTTGATCTTGCATCATGAATATCGTAATTAAATAGCCGTTGCATGATGATGCGCGCGCAGCTTTTTATCACCTCAATCATCTGTCCTATTGAAGCGGAATGAAGCATTTTTTTAGATAAACAGGAAGCTGTATTAAGTGAAGCTGGCGCTTTATTGCGATGATGGGTAAAATTCCCGTTCCCAAATGACCAATTTCGAATGCTTAGCACAGCAATCTTCTTATGTGCAACTCACATCTGCGGCTGGATTTCAGCAAATCCGTCGGCTCGCTGCAAGAGTGCGAAGTACTCCTTTCTTGATCTAATACCAAACACTGTGAAGTAAGGTTTCTGTATCACATGAGATATACAATTGACGATTAGAGCGTAACATGTTTCTAAGCAGACTCCGTTGGGATTTGATTGTAAATAACTTTGATTTGGTAGCCGTCTTGCAAGTCCCGTGGCCTGCTTTAGCAGACAATTAAGCTGTCAGAAAGAACAAATCCCTCTAAACTACCGTTACCTGCAACTGGCATGTATCAAAGATGGCAATGTTTCGGTCGTTAATTGTTAAAACATTCCAACTATCCAAGCTCCATCAGGGCGCTACGACTCCTTTATCACCCCCACGTTTAACCAGACAGACTGACATCGGTTTATGAAACGGGGCCCACTTTACCATGAAAGTAAAATAGCACGACGATTCGTTACATGTGTCCATTCTCACACTCGAATCAATCACAATTTACAATTCAACCACAAATGGATCTTTCTAGTGTCGAACTCACAACACTAGCTGGGTTGCAAACAGATTCAGTCTAAGAAAATATCCACAAATATCTTCAAAAGTAAAGAAATAAGTCTGCTCTCATATATTGAGTCTCTTTTACAACACAATTCAAATAGTACATTTATCTGTAGCAGTTCACTACAGTCTATATCTTCACCAGCGCAAGGATCCTTCAGTTCCGTGTACCGTGGACAAGATAAACTTGTTCAAGAAAAGTGAATATGTTTTGAAGGAATGACGTCATTTTCCAAATGTGTACAATCTTCAAATAAACCAGATTATGTTATGGCAATCATGGCTATTTTCTTTGTCAACTCTTTGTTTTCACTATAAAGGTCAAATGGAATGGAAATATTTCACACATGTGATGCGCCAGTTCATTAAAGTTGCAGGATCTGAGAAAATATGGTTGCTGCTTAATTTCAATTTCCAAATGTATATTATACATTATACACCATATTGCTGTTCTACCGTCATTCAGATTTGAAATATTCAACCAAAAATTGCGACAGTCTGTAAATAACTGGGTCTGGACTAAGACAATGACAAAATGAATGGGTAAGACCGTACATGAGAGTTGTACATCGGTTTATTCATTGGTTCGGTTGTATCACCGCGTTCAAGGTTGCTGGACACTCTGAAGTGTCAGTGATCACGTTCATGGAAGCCATTTTGAACAAAGTCTTTGAAAAGAAAAACAGAGTAAAGTTAACATTAATTTTATTCCAACAAAGTTAAATTCAAAATAGTGAAATACCTATTCCAAAACACGCAATGTCAAACATTCAAAATGCATGATCTCCACAACATCAGTCATACCTGTACACATTGAAATCCAACAAGTGTTCATATAAATCCTCGAACCTTGACTTGCAGCACTAGTGATGTTCCACGTACGTATACACAATAACAATGAGTTCATTAATGCAGTTCATTAATGAAATAGTAGGAAAACACGCCTCTGACAAAGAGATCTGAGATCTGAACATATGTATGAGGATCCTTGCACGGGTGAGGGTCGCTACTACTACCCATCACAAGTTTAGACTCACTAGTGTAAATGTAGCCACTTACTTCAGTCAACTGTTCTAAAGTAGATTTTGCAAAATATTCCATACTGTCTAAAGGTACTGTTTACACATTACCCGATTTATTGTAAAACAAATTCGTAACGTTGAAAAGACTACTGTCATGAGCCCAATAAATGATGAAACTCAGTGAAAATTGGCGAATTCTTAACCAAAACTTTACACCAAAACGCAGCTGTTCACAGTGTACGATATTTACACATGCTTTTCAGCAATTTGATGCATGGTCCTCATGTAATTCATTTGCATAAGGTTCCCCAACGTTAGGGTTAACCACATATATAGACATAACATATAGTGAATGCTTTACGAGTAAAACAAAATGATGGTAGTATATAACTCGGAAGCCTCGGACGCCCCAGGCAGTTGCCCTGTTCCAATAAACTATCCAATGGTCCAATAAATATTAAACTCTGTGTGTTGATATTTTCTTTTGAGCACACTTATTCAGTTTTCAATTGATTAAAAGCCAAACAACAGCGTCAGTCAGTTATACGTAGGGCAAATAATCATATATATATCTTTCCCAAATTTCCCATGAGCTAAAATGTCATAAGCATTCTTTTAAAAACGACTCAACAGGAAATGAAGAATAATCAGAATTTCTAAAAACACATTTCATCAAAGCATGCAAATGCTTGTTTGCTGCTCACAAAAACAAAACAACTCCACAAAACGGAAAATACATTGTCTGCACTATCATTAGGCGTGCATATGATCAGTGACATCGCTGTACCAATAAATAACAGCTACAAAGAACACGCATGTCGACCATGCATCATAATACATTATTTAAATATCCACATAGGGACGTCGTCCATCACAATGCTACCTCCTCCATGTTGAAGTGGTACTTGGGATATAGGACACCACTTATAGCGGTTGTGTCCTATCACAATTAGGACGCCATGACACCACATATACAGATTCTAGACCTTTGGTCAATCGTTGGCGTTGAGTGAAACGACTGTACACTAATTTAGAACCATCAAAAATATACCCCTTTTCCAAACACTATCAATCACCAACACATAATAAGAATGTAATAGAAAGAAACAGGTATGCATGCCCTGCCCTGTCGACAGCCCACACAATTGGAATAAAAAGTCAGTGTTTGTTGTCTGAACCAAGGACATATTAGCTCGAATCTGATTAACGAAAGATACACAAGATTAATGTATTTACAAAGGCTTCAGTTACATAAGCTTTGCATACAGCATTCAGTGTTTAATACAACAGTTCTGTTTGGTGTTTACGTCTAGTCGGGGCGGTGGGAAGACTTGTGGTTAAGCGTTCGCTCGTCCGTGTTTGATTACCCACACGGGTACAATGTATGAAGCTCATTTCTGGTGTCTCCCCGTTGTGATATTGCTGAAATATTGCTAAAGCGGCGTAAAGCTAAACTCACTCACTCACTATTGCTTGTCAAGACCAGGCAATCTTTGTTATCACGTCATAAAGATCTCAATAGTGACAACATGTCTCAAAACCATTCTGACAATTCTTTGAATAATCAATATGGTTTCTCACATTTTCTTGAGTAGTTCAAAACATCAAAAGTAGCAATATGTCGTAAACTGATGCTGGCGATAATGGATAACAGAAGATCGGTTTTCTACTTCTAGGAAACGTATCTGTCGCTGTGTTTGTCCAGTCGAAACTATCTGAGGAAGATAATTAATTATTAATGGTTATATTCGTGACTGACTATCGACCAGGAATATGACTAGCACAGGAATATATATGTGTATTGCACTCTTGGTGTCTCCAAACACAATAGTGACCATGAATACCAACAATGTCTGAAAGTGAATTTCTGCTCGAACTGTCATCACTGGTACTGATGTCGACTCTCTTAGCAGCCTGCCTATATGCTGGTTTGATCTCTCTTATAGGTTAAGGAGTACAAGGAGTCTGATGGAGGTTGGGGGTTGGGGTGGCAGTCTTAGAGACTGGCCATTTGTTATTCCGGGAAGGGGGTTGGGTCGAATGGGTGTGGGTGGGATTGGGTGAAGTCGGTTGGGGGAACTATCAGCTTTAATTTTTTTTCAGTTTCAACCTTGCAACTGGGTATTGTTTGGCAGCAAATCTATTCTATTTTCACAAGTATGATCATAATAATTTCCTCAAGCATTTTTATATGTTAATGGTAGTTTTGCTAACAATAACTGCACGGACAGGTTACATGTCTATGGTAGTTTTGCTAGTAATTGATGCAATGCTCACTGCAGTTCCATAGATCACTCTGGTTAGTGGTAGTTCAGTTTTGCTCAAACATCAGAAACTCTTATAGTGAGGAACATACTTATTATGTCACCACTGGTAGTTTTCACTGCTAGTAATTTGATGACCTAACACATCAGACAGTGATGACAGAATTATAATCACTGCACGGACAGGTCATATGTCAATGGTACTTTCTATAATTTGATGACAACACGTCAGACAGTCAACATATACGTCGACACCATGTCTTTTGTTAACAACCCGTGAAGGTCCGGGTTCATATGTCAACACTTGATCTTCAGTAACCCATGCTTGTCGTAAGAGGCGATTAACGGGATCGGGTGGTCAGGCTCGCTGACTTGGTTGACACATGTCATCGGTTCCGAATTGCGCAGATCGATGCTCATGCTGTTGATCACTGGATTGTCTGGTGCAGACTTGATTATTTACAGACCGCCGCCATATAGCTGGAATATTACTCTTTTATTAACACAGTGTCATATGTCAATACTACGCCAGATATCAACACTGCCACGTCAGCACTATCGTTCTATAATAGAATTACACATATTTAATGTACCTATCAAGGAGAGTCATACTACCATAATGGGCTCAAACATGTGATAGATTAAATGGTACAACATGGTAAAATATCAAAACGTAACTGACATAAATAATACATCGCATATCCACAAAGAAACATACAGCCTTCAACAATGTGCTGTGTACCTGCATAGAAACAAATATTGATTTCTTAAAACATGGTATGGCTATGTTCTCTTTCAATTTTGATATGAGTAAGTGTATTAACACCACGTACTGCACGAGATTAGTGTCTTAATGCCAATCTTTAAATTACACGCAGTTTATCATGGCAGTGTTGCATCTCGCCTTGTGAGATACAGAGAGTAAGGGCAGATAACTCCCACTGAAAAATACCTGAATTTCGGGCCTACAACAATAGCATATAATCAAAAATCAGCTTACCGTCGGTGATCACTGACGGCAAGATCTGGCATGTGACGGCATAAAAACACACACGTGGAATGCATCTTTGATAATCCACATAAATTGAATGAAAACAAATAACAATAGTCAACATTGGAATATATATACCATATATTATCAAGACACGATATTGATCCCGAGAGGTATTGTTCCTTATTGATACATTTATTCCGGAATATACTGTTACAGATTGAATGTGCAAAAAGTGTTTCCATCCTAAGAAGTAACCTCAATACCATCATTGGTTCGCTATGGAGTGCCACAGGGTTCTGTTCTGGGACCCCTCCTCTTCAGCTTGTACATTTTACCAATTGGAGACATCGTGAGAAGTCATTCCCTAAAATTCCATCTCTACGCTGACGATAATCAGTTGTATATTTCCATCAAACCATCAGAAGTTTCACAAGGAGTTCATAAGATCGAACGCTGCATAATGGATATCCGGGAATGGATGGCTGTCAACTATTTGAAGTTGAACGACAGCAAGACTGAGTTCCTTGCCATAGGCTGACGGCAACAGCTGCAGAAGATGCCACCTGTAATCACGCTCAAGATAGGAACTGAGGATGTGAAGACCTCAAACTCAGCCAGAAATCTGGGAATCATCTTCCAGTCCAACATGTCCCTAGATGAATATGTCAAGTCCCTCTGCAAGTCATGTTTCTTTCACATCTACAACATCGGCAAGATCCGCAACTTCCTAGACACCGAGACAACAAAGCTCCTAATGCAAACGCTTGTAATCTCAAAGCTGGACTATTGCAACTCACTCTTTTGCAACACGGCATCTTCAACACTTTCTAAATTGCAGAAAATTCAAAACGCAGCAGCTCGTGTGGTCTCTCGAACCCATCGCCATGACCATATATCGCCAGTTCTGAAATCCCTTCACTGGCTTCCAGTAAAGTACAGGATCTACTTCAAGAGCTCTTAGATCAAAAGATACGTTAAGACTAACACAGCCAAGCACTAAAACATCAATGGGTGATAGAGCCTTTTCTGTAGCAGCACCAGCTCTGTGGAACAATCTTCCAGTCACCCTCAGATGAACTGAGTCACATTCACAATTCAAGAACTTGCTCAAAACCTACTTCTTCAAGATGGCTTCTGAATAGAACTCTTTTCACACTTATTGTGTTTTTAACGATGTTATGCAGCGCCGTTGAGCATCTATGATGGAAACTAGGCGCTATACAAGCCAATTATTATTATTGTTATTATTAACGGGAGGCCATATCATCTGAATCGATCCTCCAGGTGAAAATATGATATATTGTTTTCTTCTTACCACAACAGATGATTTTGTTCTTCAAACTTTAGCAAATGAAACTGCCAAATTCGAAAACTGAAAAGTGAAAAAATGCATAAAATAACAAGCAGCCTTCCAATTCCGACGACCAGATGTAGGTAAAATGTTACTAATACTCTTTCACTGCCACTGTCAACATAAAGAGATTAAATAAAATACAATAATCAAAGCCTGTTGAACATTTATCATACGAACTTAAAAAAACAAAGCAAATTTTTGCCAAATTAAAATTGATTTAAAATTGGAATTACTAATATATTTTTCAACTTAACGACCTGATTTTCCTAAAAAAATCAATAAATCCATGAAAACGTCTGGCTTAAATATTCTTTCCTTCATGCAGGAAAGGGCATCGAGGCGATGAGTGTCATATTTCCGGATAAGACATATATCTATTTAATGACTTACGGTTTCACTTTCAGGACATAGAACATTCATCACCAACAAGAACATTGATCTTATCCACCATGTACAGGGCATACATAGATTATCTACATAAATCTCACGTTCCCAAAACACACATTGGAGGAAACACCATCCTGTCATTGGATTAAGTGAATTTTGATTTACATGTTATACTCACAAAACTACCTTCGTCGGTATAATTGTAAAATAATGCGATAATTGTAAAATAATTTATAAGTTGTAACAAAGTTCGTATTCGCGTCGTATCTCTTTTGAATAACTAAATCTCTAAGTCTTATGACAGTAACATATGTAAGTCATCGGGGAATCTATAGTGCATCAATGTATCTCGATTTGGGGAAAGAAAGATGATGGCAAAATAAAACTCCCAGCTGATTAATATCTATCCCATCTCAATATTTCACATGAAATTCTTGATATGATTACAAGAATTTGTTGGACAAGTTTTAGGTGTCACATTCAATTTTAAACAGACATTTGAAACAGAAAAATGTAAAGGACTGAATTCACAAGTAGTGGTTGTCAAATAGGAGTGATGACAGCATCTGTTACAGCGTCAGGGCATATTGTAATCACAGTCGGATATGGTGATAAAGACATTGAAATTCATGATATTACATTTCCTCTCTCTTTTTCAAACTTTCGTTTGAAATTGAAATTGGTACAAACAAAACGAGATGGATTCACATTAAGCAACGTATCACTCAAGCGCCATTATCTTTCAGCTTAATGGTAGGTGTTTGACAAATGTGAAACGCATCTCATCATGACATGGGTTCACTCAACTCTGAAGGTTCGCTGTCATCGCTGTTTGATATGATAATAGATCGTAAACAGAACAGGCATTTGGTTAAGATGTTGCGCTATTAAAACTACCCAAAACACTTTATTCCATTTTTGTTTGCATTTCAGGGTTGATGATGGCTCGGAAGCACCAATCACAGAGGCAAAGTTCCAAGCGAGAGATGACAGTGTGGATGTTGATTTTGGAAGCATAATTTCAACCTTGTTGACAGGATGCTTTGTAATTCGTTAACACGCAGATCTTATTGACAAGAATGTTCAAACCCAGCGTTACAGATAACAGAGAGAAAATTGGACGAATCCATCCGACAAGAATCCTTATACTTACAGTACACGCCCTGCTATGAATCCGATCGCTGATACCACCTTTGCTACATTCTTGAACGTCCATTCTGATCTAAAATGACACTTGGAGGGAAAAGCAGGAGGGTTTCATTTATAACCCTGCATTAACTGAGAGTAGTTATCTCCTGTCTCAATCAACGGTTGACGGGGTGTAATAACTTGTGGCTATCAATCGGCCAAACTGAACAGCCTAGGTTAAAAGAATGGAATGAAGCTTACTGGAATCAATTGCCATTGTTTCCCGCAACCTACTGCTGTATTTGACGTGACTATCGTAGAAGCGATGCTTTTTGATCTTACATCATGAATATCGTAATTAAATAGCCGTTGCATCATGATGCGCGCGAAGCTTTATCACCTCGATCATCTGTCCTACTGAAGCGGAATGAAGCATTTTTTAGATAAACATGAAGCTGTATCAAGTGAAGCTGGCGCTTTATTGCGATGATGGGTAAAATTCCCGTTCCCAAATGACCAATTTCGAATGCTTAGCACAGTAATCTTCTTATGTGCAACTCACATCTGCGACTGAATTTCAGCAAATCCGTCGGCTCGCTGCAAGAGTGCGAAGTTCTCCTCTCTTGATCTAATACCAAACACTGTGAAGTAAGGTTTCTCAATCACATGAGCTAAACAATTGACGGTTAGAGCGTAACAAGTTTCTGAGCAGACTCCGCTGGGATTTGATTGTAAATAACTTTGATTTGGTAGCCGCCTTGCAAGTCCCGTGGCCTGCTTTAGCAGACAAATAAAGCTGTCAAAAAGAACTGACCCCCTAAACTACCGTTACCTGCAACTGGCATGTATGAAAGATGGCAATGTTGCGGTGTTTCATTGTAAATACATTCAAACCATCAGCGCTCCGTTTCACAGAGTAATCTGGGCTCTACTACTCTTGTAATACCTTATTTTTAACTAGACAGTCTGGCATCACTTTATAAAACGGGGTCCCCTTTACTGTGAAGTTAAAATAGCACGACGATTCGTTACGTGTGTCCGTTCTCACACTCGAATCTTATCAAAATTGACAATTCAACCACAAATGGATCTTTCTAGTGTCGAACTCACAACGCTAGCTAGGTTGAAAACAGATTATAGTGTAAGAAAATATCTACAAATATTTTCCTAAGTATAGAAATACATCTACTCTTAAACATCGAGGAATATTTTCAACGCAATTCAAATAGTAAATTTATCTGTAGCAGTTCACTACAATCTATCAACCAGCGCAAGGAAAGTAAGGGTCTTCAATACCGTGGACAAGATGTGTGCTTGTTAAGTATTTGCATGTTTTTGCATGAAATGACGTCATTTTCCAAATGTGTACAATCTTCAAATAAACCAGATTAAGTCATCGTAATCATGGCTATGTTTCCCCTCAAATCTTTGTTTGCACTATAAAATTCCTATAAAATGGAAATCTTTGACACATTTAATACACTAAGTCATTAAAGTTGCTGAGTCGATAAAATAATCTCAATTTCCAAATGTTTGTGATAGTTAATACACTTTATTGCTGTTCTACCATCAATCAGATTTGCAATATTCAAGCAAAATTGCGACGGTCTGTAAATAACTGGGTCTGGACTAGACAATGACAAAATGAATGGGTAAGACAGTACTTAAGAGTTCAACATCGGTTTATTCATTGTTGTGAATCGGTTGTATCACCGCGTTCAAGCTTGCTGGACACTCTGAACTGTGAGTGATGACGTTCATGGAAGCCATTTTGAACAAGGTCTTTGGAAAGAAAAAACAGAGGAAAGTTAGTATTCATTTTATTCCAACAAAGTTAAATTCAAAATAGTGAAATACCTGTTCCAAAACACGCAATGTCAAACATTCAAAATGCATGATCTCCACAACATCAGTCATACCTGTACACATTGAAAT